ATTGCTGACGTCGTTAAGACACAGGAGCAATAGTTTCCAAATGATACTTAAAAGGGAGAAGTTAGCACCAAACGCCTCCCTTGTACAAAGATGCCTGATTTGTATAGACTTTATGTGAATGTTGTACCATTAGAATCATGCCTAACTATTAATAATTAAATAAATAGCACTTTTGGCTTCCTGGTAGAGAATCTGATAATTCCTGGCTTCCCACATCTGTTGCTAAAGCCAAGTTTTAGTTTTTTGAAAAGTTATTGCCTGGCTTGTCTTCAAGGAACACTTCTTGTGTCCCATCCTAAATGCTGAGAACTGACCATGTACACCGTGTTCTTACATTAATATATGTAAGACTGGTTTATACAGACAAGGTCTAATATGAAAGTAAGTGGGCAGTAGAAAGCATTTTGGTGACAGGGATTCCCACAGTCAGCTGAACAGCTGATCCCGAAGGAGAAGTCTCATGTCTCTGAAGTTTGCAGGATGGAAACTGGAAAAGAGTGATGCAGGTGGTCAAATGTGACTGTGTATGTACTGTGCCACACAATTGTACCTGATTTAGTGTAGCCTATAATGCCTGTCTTTTGCTCGTAGTTGAAGAGAAATTATTTTCCAAGGCAAACTCTTCAGCTGTTAATTATATTCAAAATTTTCAAAAAGTAAAGTATCTCTGAATGCGTTTATCATCTTCCCAGTCACTGGCTCTTATGATGCTTTTGATCTGTGTAAGATAGGTCTATAGTACTAAATCTTCTTCTATGTGCATTTACAGGCTGAATCCATCCTGTGGCTAAGCTACACAGATAGGCTCTCAAGTTCCATGGTAAGACAGGTTTTGCAGATTTCCTTTTTTTTTAAACCATTGGCTGTGGCGATCTTCCAGTTACATCTCTTTTTCTTTCTGCAACCCTGAAGTGAGCTGATCTATGAAACAGGAATTCCTAGCCAGAAACTGCTAGCCAGAAACCTCCTAGCCAGAAACTGAGCTGGGAAAATGATCATACCATTGAAAACCAGTGGAAACAGTGGAGCAGTCAGTCAACACAGATGGGCGCCAGCACTACCTCCTGCCCTGTCTTTCAGACCATAGCACCTACTTCTGCATTGGTGGACTTCTCCAAAAATGATGCACTTGAATTCTGAGGTCAAATCCAATACTACAATTCCCAGAGAAGTGCACTAACCACAAAACTATAGGCTATTTTGGGGGTTACACTGCTGCCCATCCTGCTCTGGAGCTGGATTGCTTTCAAGAATGCATGAGTTATAGGGCCAGAAGGTCGGTATGCAAGAGGGAGCCTGCCTTGGTAGATATTTTATGTTACACAGTAATTGGATACAAAGAAGAAATAAAGCTAAGGGCACACAGGGGGATCCTGGGTCTTCCCCTCCCAGCTGAGTGCCCTGACCTCTCCAGATTATAGAGCTGGATCTTGGCGTTCTTGCCTCCTTGGCCAAGGACTTTTTATGCTCCTGGGTACCTGAGAGCCCAGCTCCAGCACAGGTTTGATGAGTTTATGAACTCAGACTCGATGCTGATTTCCTTATCTCAAAGAGACAAAAACTTAGCATGTGAAATGTAAATGCAGCTGGGTCTTGTTTGGTGTCTAGGCTAAGGTTAAGTTATTTTCTGCAGCAGCTCACGTGCTGGAAAAAAGGTGGGGGGGAACTGGCAGTAGCTGGCAATGACACCTGAAGAAGCTGAAAACTGTAACATGGGAACTTTTATTGGCTCTGCCACGGGAGCTCCCAGTGCAGTGGGAATGGTGGGTCCCAGGCTGGCGTTTGTGCAAGCTTTAGAGGTGTTGGTCTCTTGAGGCAGTTCTTGCTTGCTTGGTCTCAGCCACATGCTGTCACATTCTGTGACACCTAAATAGGACAGAACTGCCCTGTTCTGGCCAGACACCAGGTTATTCTCCAGTAGGTTTTGTGTTTCTTCTTATTCCACTCTGCCTGCAGGCAGACAGCATTCACCATGTTGCTTTGCATTCAGACTGAGTTCACCAAAATGATCTCTGAGAATACTGAGGTTTCTTTTCACTTTGCTTGTGAGTACTGAAAATATATGTAGTCCTTGGCATGTTGCTGGCACCAGGTGACCTTGTTTGCACCCTTACTTGCTTGAATAGGGGGTTTGTGTGCCAGGGCTTAGAAAGGGGTGATTTGCAGGCTAGTAAGGGGCAACCCTGTGATTAGAAATTCCACGATCTGACAGGATGCACATTTGACCTGCTAGTGTAAAATAGATTATTATTCTATTATGTAAACATTTTAAGATCCAGGTTTGATAAGGATCAATGGCAGAAATAAGGGGTGCATTCCTACCTGTCTGTAAAAGTACTCGCTAACATGTGCTGCAGCGTTTGATTTATAACCTTACAATAGTGGCTTTGATTAATAATGCTTTATTAGTTATAAACATAGACTTACTGAATAAATCCTACTTACTCTGTTGAATGGCTCTCCATGCCTACATAAAACTATTTCAGTAATTAGAAAGCTACTATAATATTTCTCTGTATTGTAGACTTTGAGCCGTTAGCTCCCTGTCAACTTTCCTGAATTCCTCCATCAGCTTTCTACTTGACCCCATCCTTGTCACGAAAGGGAAATGGGTTCTTCTTACCTTTTGTGATGAGAAAGGGCAGATATGGTAAGACAGGGTTTCCCATAGAAAAGAAGAAAGGGATGGAGGAAATAGCGTGTCTCTCATTCTGATGTACCTCTGATCCTGTACCGTCCTCTTCTCTTCTCAGAGAAATGAGACTGGAGAGGAGATATCCCTGCTGAAAAAAGACCAAACCCCCTCCCTGAAGGACAGCAGAGTTATCACAATTGCTTTGTGGGCTTGCGTGTCAGGAGAACAGTAGAAGAGTACGCCTGAGGTGTGTTAGCATAAGGCATCTTGTGGAGAGCACCCCTCTGTCTTTTTCTCAAAGATGTCGGCTTGTAGCTCCTAGGCTTTTTCCTCCCCTTTCTATACAAATGAAAACAGGGGCGATCAGTTGTTTTATCTACTACTGTAGATAAATGAAATGTAGCCATCAGTGCTGAATAACATGAAAACAGTTTGAAAGGAAGCATGGAACACTATATTCAACTGAAACTAATTACCTGATTAGGTTTTGGCCTGGCCGCGTGGGTTGACATCCAATGGTCTTGGCAACAATACGTGTGAGCAAAGCCAAGTCTAGTCTTGCTTCATTTAAAGACTCTGGACAAAACTTCTGGACTTGTGTGCTGAATGCTAAGCAGTGTGAAAATAGGCCACTGATTAAAGTACCCATGGCTACAATCGGTGTCAGTGGGCAGCTGGCATGGCTGCAGATGAATGAGCCAATTTGGGTTTTAGAAATACTTTTATTACATTTAATGGTGGTTCTGTTTCAGTCTGGTGAAATTTAACTCTGCATCAGAACATCCTCCATTCACAGCTATAGGATTAGCACTTTCCTTCAGCACTTCAAACTTCTCTCCTTAAAAATTTAGTCAAAGTCTGACACTGAGATCTCATAAACTTAGAAAATCACCTAAAGGGATTTTACCTCACCTAGTCTGAGTCTGTTACAGTAGTTCCTTCTCTTTATCTCCATAGGGGTTAAATGCATTAGAAGTATTTGTTGTTGTTGTCTTCTCTTGCACCTTTGTCACAAACACTTTTTTGATCTGTTGGTGTCTTTGGAAAATGGCATGTTTTCATGTTAGCAGTACCTGTGCAGCATCTCAAGTGTCTATAGTGGTTAGACATATCTATATTTACCAGTGTGATGGTAATATTTTGTCTTGGCATCACTCTAAAGGGAAAAAAAAAAAAACATTTTTTGGAAGGATTTGAAGCTTTACTGGGAAGAGATGGTTGAGTCTTTGATCTATATATAAAAATACAGTCCATTAAGAACAAAGGTGAGCAGAACACTTTTAGAAAGACTTGACTGAACGGTAAGCTTCTGGGCTGCACTCACTTCTGGCACCCCAGAGAGCCTCTGTTCTCCCTTCCCAGGGAGAACAACGTGAAATGAAGTGTCAAATGAGTTGTGGCAGTTTACTGGTGAGCACTGACTTTATGAGGAAATTTAGTACGTCTGCTCTGATATCCTGGAAGCGCATTGAGACACGTTATTAAACTGAATTGGACAAGTGGTTGATGAAAATCCAAGAGCTGGTAAGAGATGCTCCATAGAACAAGAAATCCTAATAGACAACCATAGGAAAAAAAAAAAAAAAATTGCCAACTGGCTGACTATTTTTACTTAGCAACTGGCTTATGCTCTACCCTATCCTTAACATCTAAAATAAATATTGAATTCTCTCCTGTTTACAAACCTTCATAATGAAGTCCTCAAAGTTGTGTTTAAGCATTTCCTCTTACTGCAGGAATAAATCCATCAAGTTTTCGGCCTCCCACAAAGAGAACAAATGCAAGACTGTAAGTGCCATAAAAGCCCCAAGAACCTTCAGAAACAATTTAAAATAATAAAAATATGCTTTTGGACACCTCTCTCTACTTCTACGTGGAACGAGGCTGGGCAGGGACTCGGCGGCTGGAGAAGCAGATGGGAGTTCACCTTATATAACCGGGTTATTCCCTTCCCTTCTCCCCCACCATCCCCAAATCAGCTGTCTCAATATTGGCAGGAGTGTCCTGAGCCTTCGCTAGCCAGGCCTTTGCCCAGCTGTTTGTCCCAGGAGTTCACAGTGGAGGAGGAAACCTTTCTGACTGAAGCTTCTGTAAAAACACTGCTTCAGTGATCAAAGCAGCAGTGTCCCTATGGGGGAAAAAAGAGTAGTTGGAGAGCTTGGGGAGGACGGGGGAAGAGCGATGTGGCTTTCCACAGGGCCTGGCCTCTTCATCACCCTAGAGTAGAGCTAATCTCCTAGGAAAAGTGGTGGGATTACAAAGGTGGTAAGATCACTTCTTTAAAAGCAGGCGTAAAGTTCAACTCCATTACAATTTTGTGCTTTGAAAATGTCTCTCCTAACAGCTGCTTGTGTTGCCGTTGCAGGATGATTTGGAAGTTTGTCTTGTCCATTTTTCTGATGGCAGCGCTGGTTCGAGTAACAGACACCAGGAAGAACCGTCCTGCAGGTGCCATTCCCTCGCCTTACAAAGACAGCACCAGCAACCACTCGGAGCGGAGGCAGCAGCTGAATAAGGAGGTGCTGGCCTCCAGCCAGGAGGCCCTGGTGGTCACCGAAAGGAAGTACCTCAAGAGCGACTGGTGCAAGACGCAGCCCCTGCGGCAGACTGTCAGCGAGGAGGGCTGCATTAGCCGCACCATCATCAACCGCTTCTGCTATGGGCAGTGCAACTCCTTCTACATCCCACGGCACGTCAAAAAGGAGGAGGAGTCCTTCCAGTCCTGTGCTTTCTGCAAGCCACACAAGGTCACCTCTTCGACTGTGCAGCTGGATTGCCCTGAGCTGGACCCACCTTTCCGACTCAAGAAAATTCAGAAGGTCAAGCAGTGCCGGTGCATGTCTGTGAATCTCAACAACTCAGGCAAACTGTGAGAGCAGGCGTGTTGCATCTGCTTGGTGTTGCCTCCATCAGATTTACTGCTGCCTCTCTGCTCCCACTGAGCAGACTGTCCATTTAGTTGGTTTTCTTTTCCTCCTTTTCTTTTTTTTTTTTTTTTTTTTTTTTTTTTTGTGTGTTTGTGTTTTGTTCTCTTTCAGAAGGCATCCCTTCAGCAAGGAAAGGCTCCTTGTCGCTTGCCTACTGGAATAATGCTTTATCATGGGCTGTCAGGCACTTCACCATAAAGTTTCGTTGTATTTCCAATATCATCTGGCGGTTGAATCTTCTGGAGAGGAGCAGGCTCCCAGACGTTGGGATTGATCATCTAAGTGACCAGTTGGCTGAATCCAGCATTAAATGTTTCCACTGTGTGGAGTAAAGCCCTCTGCCCTACACTCCAGTTCCCTCCACAAGATGAGAACGCCTTCCCCGTGCTTTGGGCCGGAGCTTGCTGCTCCCGTTTGGAATTGCTGGGGCGCTGCCAAGGACTGGGGGACACAGATGAGGGAGAATAACGAGGAGTAACGTGCGAAAAGCAAGTGAGACTTTCTGATGAGGCTCATCTCCTTAAGACAACTTTTTATTGTGCAATGACAAACAGCTCCGGGCTCGTTGTCTGAATGGCAGATGAGAAGCGAGGGGAAGAGGGCGAGGCGCTGGGTCAGCCCCCGTGACCACAGAGCAGACTGAGGGTGGGTTCTGATGCTGTTGTGGTTAGAGTATATCGAACACGTGGTCTCTGCAGCAGTGTTTATTTTGTAACCTAGCTATAGTAAACAGCTGTTTAAAGTATTATAGACCTAGCCATGTGTATTTTTCTTGTGGCAGAATATGCCAGAGTTTAAAACGTGTTGAGTAAGAGACTTGGTGGCTAGGTCAGCTGCCTGGCTTGAAATGGACGTGGTTTAACTAGGCTTTTGGTAGGTTTTTGTGTGTTAGATATGCGTGTGTTTCTTACTCCAAAAAGGACAACATCCATTTATGACCTTATATTTATGCCTGCTCAGACCAGCGGAGGTGGGAGGGTAGCGAGAGAGGAGCTGAGAACAATTAAGGGAACGATGTTTCACTTAAGGTATAAAAGCACTGTCGCAGAAAGGACAAAATTTGGTCATTGCTGGACTGAATACAAAAGCTGCATCAGTGTCATCAGGTTTTGGGAGTGGTGTGTTTCCCATGATCGGAAACCATGTTAATGTGTTCGTGTTAAAGGACAAACCCATCAGTCAGTGCTGCTGGAATGGGTCACAGCTGTAAGCACAGGGAGAGAGTAAGTTGTAATTGCTACAGTACTGGTGGTCGATTTTTGAGTCCTACATAATCAGCGTTGGTGAACACTTGCAGTTCATTTTAAATCGTAGTGTGTTGTTATTCAGTTGATGGAGCTTAGCATGTCCTGTATATCCCGTTTGTTCCAGTTCTGATCTGTATTAGTCCCAGCTGCATTAAAATCCTATGTCTCAAAACAAACCAGCCCCTTCCCCCAAACCAAAGCCCATGCGTGCTCAATTGTCTGAAGCTAACAAATTAAAAATGACACGCTGACTCCCCGATGCATGTCTCACAGCTCAGCATCTGCATCTAGTGAAACCAGCTTGCTGTGGGAGCCCTTTCCTGCCAGCCTCTTCGCTTGCAGCCGCTTCAAGGGGTTAATGTGTTCAGCACTCTCTCCTGCCAGGCGTTTGGTGCCACAGGTCTCCGTTATGTGAGGCAGGCTGCTCTAAGAGGCTTTCAGGACTGAGCTCCACCAGCGCTCACCAAGCGGTTTATGGGGATTGGCACGGGCAGGATGAGGTTGGTCGGGTCTGTTAGCCCTGTTACGTGAATGGCCGTGGCTTTTCTGCCGTGATCTGTCAGGGTGTCAGAGGTGCAGAGGGAGACTCCTCGGACAGGGATTTCCTTGGAGGCTGCCAGCACCGTGCCAGCCACCGAACGGGCACCGTTCACTCTGGGCTTGAGAGTGTTGATGTGGGTGGGTGGGGGGTGAGTGGCAATACCTGTAGTCTACTAAGACTCCAGGGATCTCGGTCTCCACTTGAAAGAAATGGACTGAAAGTCAGGCATTTTGGACTAGGGAGAGAAAAGCACCCTAGTAACTTCAGTTAAGAAAAAAAAGTGCAAGAATCTTTAAGCTATGCCCTGCCTGGGTTTTTCACCAGTTTGCAATATGAATATGCTGCAGCTTAAAGCTCCTTCTAGGAGCTGTGTTTATGTAAAAACTGAGTTGAGCTTGTAATGGTTAAAACTGTATTTAATTCTTGTTTTATAAATGAAAACAAAAATGAAGAAATGCTTTAATGTAATTATTTTATAGGTCTACTATTAAATTATAGATTAAATAATAAAGCTACTCTAGGGTTATATGGCATCCAGGTGTACGGGCTTTGCTTCAACACCTTGTGTCCAACTGCTCTGTAACCAGTATATTCTCCGACTTCCTTTTGACCCTACGAGATGCAGGTAAATGATGGCTCACCTTGACAGCTTGGGAAAGCCTAGCTGCTTCTTTCCTTGTCCCCCACTCCCTCCAAAAGTACCTGCAAGGCAAGGAGTGTGAGAACCCAGGGGGAAAAAATTGCACTAATTCTAGATTCTGGAATAGATTCTGCATTCACAAATTCTGTCTTTTTGGGTAACTGACAAGACAACAACCAAAGGTCTGCTGACTGAACTGCTGATTGTTTGAGGTCAGGTCAACTATTACCCTGACCTAAGTGGTTTTGCTTAACGTATGGCTGGATCTTATGTCATAGGCAGCAAACTACTCATAGGGTTAAAAATATAAAAAAAGATTATATCTTAAGACATAGGTGACCTTTAGTTGTTGCTATCAGCTCTTGACTGAGTACACTGTATGTCTTTCACGAGGTAAGGTAGCGTTTTGTTGGGTGTTGTCTTTTTTCTTCCCAACCCAGAGAAAACATGGTCGCAAAAGAATCTTGAAGGAAAAGTTTAGTGAGGAAAGAGAGTTCTTACACTGAGGAATGAACCTCCGCATAACCAGAAGAGATGTCTGTCGTGAGTCTTGAAAGAAGCAGGAGCAACTAGACCACAACTAGCAAGAGAGGGCTACGTCTCTTATGACACTACAGCCTGGAGGTAGTCTCTGCTTTCTTCCCTATCTCTTGCCCAAAGCCTCTCATAGTTCAGCAATTTAATGAATTTGGGGGTTATATAAATTCTTATTTTTTTTAGTAGCTGTTGGTTTTGAGAATTAATGTTTTGCTGTGCTTTAGCTACCTAAGCATGGTCAGGGCCCTCTGCTCAGAACTTGCAAGTGCCTCTGTCAGCTGGATCAAAAGGAGCTCAGGCAACCATCTCATAGAATCATAGAATCAGTCAGGTTGGAAAAGACCCTTGGGATCATTGAGTCCAACCATCAACCCTACTCTGCAAAGTTCTCCCCTACATCACATCCCCCAACACGACATCTAAACAATTCTTAAACGCACTCAGGGATGGTGATTCAACCACCTCCCAGGCAGCCTATTCTAGTGCCTGGCCACTCTTGTCTCCTCCAACACCCCCCTCTCATTCCCACCTGTCTCTTAGCCACACTCCTGCTTTGCAGGAAGTATCATCACCCAGCACTCACCTGAACCTCTACTGTTTGTGGTACAGCCTAGACTCCAGCTCCAGCTCTCCCAGCCTCTTGCTGCCCAACTGCTGAACCACCGTGCCAGAGGCATATGCTGTAATCCAAAAATCTGCTCCTTGTGGGAGCAATCCAAGGGTAGATGAAAAAATTTTCAGGTCAGATAGATGCAGCATTTTTTAAGGGAGTATGGTGGGACAGGGGAAGGAAGGGGACAGTAAATGTTAAGCTCTACCTCCATGGAACTGCCAAGTTGGCGGGGCCCCAATTTGGGGTGAGTGACAAGTGAAGATTCCCAGTTTCTAACAGCTTAAATTTGAGCTGCAGTTGGGAATAAATGAGAAAACAGTGCTGACTCAATGAGGATCCTTCACCTTCAGTAAGACACCATCTTTTTGAGGCAATAGACTTACCACTGGATGCCTCCACAAGCAAGCTGGATGAATATCAGGTACAGCGTAGGTACAGGTGGGTCTGTCATAAGAAAGAGAATGGCCTGGAAAACCTGTTCTGTAATGTGACTCTCATTTGATTGATGGGTAGGAGACATGAATGGTGCTAGACATCATTTTCTGACTTCTCCCTTTGCTGTTCTTCACAATATCTTCAGAAAAACTCAGCTCGATCAGTTTCCACTTATTCTGTCCATACTATCTTAAAATTGATGTAGCTTAAATAACTGATATAATGAACTTGGCATACACTCGGCTCTGCTTATTAACCTAGAGTATGCAACAAAATAATTGCAATGCAAAAGCTTGCTCTGTCTTCTCTCAGTAAAATTAATAACTGCTTCCAACTTCTTAAGCCAATCACTGAAAAATCAGACAAGAAAAAATAAATGTCAAACTATGGAAGATATTGCACTCCCACTGCTCCTGTTGGTTAATACTTAACTGACTTTTGGAAGTGCTTTGGGATGATGAAAGGTACTACAAAAAAGCTAACCAATACTACATCATTACACATGACAAAGTACCATGCGTCTGAGAGGCTTCAATTTGCAAGTGAAACCACAAATTGTCCTAGCTCCTCATAAAAACCAGACTGTTATTCTCAGTAAGTCACATCTGCTGCTCAGGTATGAAAGTCCTTATTTAGCTGCTACATTTATTTAAGTAACCGTGAGCAATATGTGGGATTGGTGATCAAAAAAGACTCAGAATTTTCTCTGTGAGAACTCTTGTAGGACTACAAGCCAACTCTAAATATAGCGTGCTAGTATGCCTGATGTTGCAGTAAATGGAGGAGGGGGGAACAACAGAGCATTCAGTGTCTTTAAAACACACACAAACAAACAAACAAAATAACATTAGTCTAGAATTCTGTAAAAAGCTGAGTGTGCCACTGAAAGAAAGAGCAGTGGAGAAATTTATGCTGGGAATCCATTCTGGGTGGATTTAGTAGCTTTGGTGCTACACATGTTGGGCTGCTTTACCTTGTGTGGACGTTTAAAAACAGGCTGGAGAGAAGCTATGGGAGAGAGACATGTTCAACCAAGCAGGTTAGGCCTGATTAAA